CAGTGGGGAATGCCATCCGATGGAAGGACTGTATAACACACCGCGATTTTGGCAAAGCTGGGCCATTGCCAGCCCATATAGGACTCCGGCCAGACAGTTTTCTGGCTATTGGAAATAGCCACACTTTTGTTGTTTCTTTTTTTTCTTTCTTTCTGGTTCGAAACGTAGTTTGTGTTGGCCGGGGACCTCATCCCATTACAGAGCTTCAGCTGATGCTGGAAACCGGGTCCAGCATCCCTTCAAGACAAAATAGCTGCATTTGTGCTGCATCACATGCAGGTCTGAGCCTGCCCTCTCAGCAGACACTGCCTCAGTGATAATAAACAAGAAGAACTAGGCTAGACTCAGATTGATTTATCCAAAGTTCTTATTTCTGCAGTAAGCTGAGAACCTGACCGCTGTGTGTGGGCCATAGCCAGGGCCAGATAACAAGCTTGCCATCTTTATTTATTGCAGCCTGCCAGTTGATTATTGATGCACCGAATGTGCAGGGACCACTGAAAAGCTCCGTCTTTGTTCTGGCAAATTTAACCCCCCTTTGCCAGTCTGCAACTACTGTTCTTCAAATTGCAGTTGGCACTGCAGACTTCAAAATATTGAAGATGATTGGCTCTCCTTGACAAATTGCTGCATTATGGGTTATTCACATCCCACAGATGATGATGTGGCGGATGGCTTCTGCCCTCCTGTGGGACAAACCCTTCTGGTTGTATGCCTAATATGATCCAATCTTCGTTCCAGGCAAATCTGTTGCCCAATAGTCTCTTCCAGTGCTGTTGCCACCATCCCCATAGGTTGCTGGAGTGGGGGCATGTAATCCACAGGTGGTGGGTGGTTTCCCATGCCGCCAACCACAGCGGACACATTCTGAGGGTGCTTTGACCTTTTTCTGGATGGGGTAACTTCAGTAGAGTCACAAAAACGAGTTATGATTGCACTTTGGGGCAAGATACAGTTTGCAATTGCACTTCAGGCACCCTACCTGGCCAGAAAGCTGGGTTGTATAAATTGCCTGAACTGGGATTGAGCACGGATGTGGCTGCTACGGGGTTCCCCGTAATACTATAATATACTATAATGACAATAAAAAAGGCCTTTTCTATTTAAAAAAAACAAAACAAAAAAAAAAACTGTATCTTGGCCCATTGGGCAATTATAACTCATTTTGGTGACCGCCGCTTAGTTTCCCCTTTCTCAAGTAGCCAGATGGCAGACGGTACCACGTGCAGTGCCTGGAGCCACAGAAAACTGGCTTTCTTGTGTGAAGGAAGAAACCGCAGCCGGGACCAGATCCTGTCTACTGCATGTTGCTGGAGCTGCCTTGATGTAAATATGTTTAAACCACCAGTACTTGGCCCAGCTATCGGATGCCGAGCCTGAAAACGGGCTGCGCTCCGTTTCGGGCCGAACCGCCAGCGCAACAAGAAAAAATTGTTTTGGCTGGCTACGCCAGCCTTTGAGGGCCGGTACCCCGAGCCTCCGGAAGTTGTGGTTCAACCTTGATGTTGCCACTTCCCTTGGCAGTGACTGCCTCTTATCTCGAATGATGTTGAGGGCCTTGAGGCCAATTTTTGTTGAGTGCTGAGGGCATACTCACATCCCTCCTCTCTGTCCCCATGGCAGTTCGCGTAGAGAGGATCCAGCTTCAGATTGCAGGTCGGCGTTGGTCTGGTGTCCCCTCTCCTCTCCTTCCCTCACTCGTCCTCCTTTTGACCTCCAAGCGAAATCGTCCGTGTGAGCATGTTTAGACTACCGTTATCTCTCAGGATGCTCAGCTCCCATTCTTGAACCCGTCTCTCGCTGCTGTCATTGACTGTTACCACCTTCCACATCACATTAGGCACTACCTTCTTCCCCCGAATAGAACGTACGGTCATTATAGCTCTATTTGGGGTATATGTCAGTCTCAATACTGCTATATATAATGACCGTACGTTGTATTTGGGGGAATAAGGGTAGTTCTCCCTTAGGTTTGTAGTACTACTTGTACCATAGACCGGGCCAAGGTCCCACTTGCACGGATTAAGAGATGATGGCCGTTGATCTTTGCTATCTACGGTCAATACCGTTTAATTCGTGTAAGTGGGACCTGGCCCCCGGAGGGACCATTCTTCTCTCCTTCAACAATAGCTTGCAAATCTTGCGGCATTCTTCTCTCCTCCAACAATAGCTTGCCAAAGCTTGCGGCAATCCGCTTTTTTTTTTCTTTTTCTTTCTTTTTCGCATGAGCAAGTTTTGGTCCCGGCAGTCGGGCTTGAGGCCTTCGACGGCTAAGAAGGGACAGTCCGCTTCGTATGCCAGCGAGCAGTACCATGCAATGAGTGCACTGGAGCGCTGGGAAGTCGAGCAAGTGGGGATCTGCGCGGGACATGTTTAGAGAGGGCGTGGCGGGACGGGAAGCGAGGAATCTTTTTTTTTTTTTTTTTTGGGAACGCGAGAAATCATAGCGGGCCTGTGGTAACACACACCAGCGCGACATGCGAGAGGTCCGCGGATTTGGCGGTAACCATGAACTGTGGGCTGAGGCCGTGCCACGCAGGCAGGGCGCCCTCGCAAAAGGGCTTGCGCTGCACTATTTTGTAGACGGATGAGCGGCCAGCCGTATCGAGGGCGGACGGCCGCGGAAGGCCGCGGACGGCTGACGGACGGCCGATGAGCCGCGAGCGTATATTCAGCTAGAAGCTGGAAAGATACGCCCGCCAGCTGTTTGTCTTTTTATTTTTTTTTAAATTATTGGCGTGAAAAGGGAAGAAAGGAGAAAATTGGTGATTGGTGATTGGTGAGCGGTGCGTCGAGCACCAGAATCGAGTACGAGCACACAAGGGAAGTGCCGGTGGGCCAAGCGAGCGCGCGCGCGCGCGCGCGCGCAACGGTAGGGACAAAAATAGAAAAACAAAAAAGAAACAAAAACCAACAAGAAGCGGGAAAAAGCGACAAAGCGAAGGGAAAAGGCAACCCTGAAATTAAGCGGTCACGTGGGGTCTCCGCCGCGAAGGAGGTACTGCAGATCCCAATAGCGGCCAGACGCACACCGTGGACACAGGCACCCCGGGGTGCGCGCGCATGCGCTTTCTTGCTACCGTAGCGTGCTTTCTGGCGACCGCAACGTCCGTCCGTTTTTCTTTTTCTCTTCTTTTCTTTTATTTAAATAAATTTGTAATATTTTTAATTATTTTTTTACTTTAATTAATTAATTTAATTTAATTTAGAGTGCGTCCGCTTTTCCGCTCTGGCGGGCAGACAGACAGACATTCGTTACTCTCCGTTCCTCCTTACCCCCCGCCACTTTGGGCCCTCGCCCCGCCACTGTCCAACTGCAAAAGAGACAAAAATTGCGCGCGTATCCCGGCTCCTTTTTCAGCCAGATACACGCTCCATTTTCTTTTTTTTTAGCGAGGAGCGCAGCGGTGCCCGCTGTCCTCCTCCGTCTCTCCACATCATTCGTTCGTGCGCACCGTCTGATGCGATTGTTTGTGCACCACCCGCTCTCCCGCGCGTGGGGTCACGGGGCCTCGCTGCACTGCGCACCACATGCAGAGACGGCAAAAGATGTCGCGGTGTATTTTCCCAACTTCTAGCTGAATATTCATTGTCATTTTGCACATTTGGTGAGTAGTGCAACTACTGTAGGGCCCCATACGCCGATGCAGAGAGAGCGAGCAGCTCTCTCTGTCTGTCTGTCTGAGACGACTGAGGGGTCTTCGCTGCGGAGATCTCAGTGTCAGACGTGTAAATGCGACTTTGGGCGGCGTCTCGTCGTCTCCCCCGCCATTGGGCGGGCGGGTGGTGCAGTTTCTGTTTCTGGCTCCCTTGTGATCCAGGTGCATTTCGTATTCCAGGTCCGGTTGGCCGGGAGAAGGGGACACGCGGATCTCTGTCTCTGGATTTGTCTCGGTCCGTGAATGCGCTGCAGATGAGACGAGTGGGTGGAAACGAGGACGGAAATGGGAGGGGAGGTGAAGAGAGAGGGGGAGCGGTGTTGTGGACTGTCGATGGTGCCGCGACGGCAGGCTTTGGGGTGTTGGTTGTCCGCTCCTGGTGGGGATTACTGAATGACGATGTTGCGCGTCCCTTCTGTGCGGGGGCAACCGTCTTCCCCCGAACACAACGCACCCCCATTTTGCCTGTATCGGGCCGGAAACATACCTTGTGTACGTTCATTTTCAGGGTGCGTTATGCTCGGGGGAAGACGGTAGGTCTCACTTACACGAAACGGATTAAGCGATATTGACCGTAGATAGCAAAGATCAACGGCCAGAATCTCTTAATCATCGTGCAAGTGGGACCTTGCCCCGGGAATGGAGCATCCCGCTGCTATGTAGTGGTAGGGAGGGAGGCGCAGTTGTAGAAGAGGGGCGGGCATTGGATAGCGGCATTAGTCGGAGGAGGAGATAGAGAGGAAGTTCCGCGAATGATGGGTGGAGGACTATTCTTTTTTTCTGTCGGTCAGCGCCGCGATTGTGATGATATGATTGTAGTGCCGATTGTCTCTGTTCAACGCAGCCACACGCAGGGGGGAGTTGACGGTGGGGCCAAGGTTGTCATGTAGTGGCTAATGAACTCGTGTCTGGAACGGAGAGAGTGTAGGTGGTCAAGAACCTCACGCACGCTAGCATTTCCTTGCGGCCGCTGATATCACAGTGGTGCTAGGGGCGTAGGTGGTTAGTATTGATTGCGTCTACTGCAGTAGAACGATCCCCTGTGAGGAGATCCTTTGATCGACACGGTCACTAACTGCCAAGGGGTTACGCAACGCTAGCTGCACTGAGGCGAACTTCCTCCTCTCGCTTCAGCACATACGTGTGCAGACTCTGTTCATTCCTGTGTACGTTTGCGCTGTCTGTCCCTCTCTGTGTTCTGTGTTGTCTCTGTGTGTGTGTGTGTGTGTGTGTGTGTGTGTGTGTGTGGTGAGAGAGAGAGAGAGAGAGAGAGAGAGAGAGAGAGAGAGAGAGAGACGTCAGCGCAGCTGTTAACACCCGAGCGGGTTTCGGGGATCGGTTGAAGTGTTGGTTGCGTAGTCATCGCGAAAAGATGTAGAGGGTTGGTTGAAGTGTTGATCGATGGAAATGATGTACATTCCTTTTCAAGGTCTGGACGGGGGGGTGGGATCGGAGGCAATCATGGACATGTGTTTTCCAGGTATAGAAGAGCGGGCTCGTCGGTATAGAGGATGGTGCAATCCACGATCGATCGGTATATCTGATATAATCTGGTCGAGTCTACTCTACCCAGCCAAACCCGATTCGATCCCAGTCTGAATCCAATCGAGTCTCATCACAGAATCTGATTCATTCCATCTCCAACCAATCCAATCCAATCCAATCCAATCCAGTCCAGTCCAATCCAATCTAGTCGTTCCAGTCCGGATGAAGAAGGGAGGGAGGGTGTGTAATGTGATCACAGCAGGAGCAATGGTGGGTGTATAATCTGATCAGACGCGGACAAATTATTGTCGTCGATGATAGTCCAATCGAGTGCATGCAGGAAATGAACGCCCCCTCCCCCACCCCCTCCTATCGCGCCCCCGTTCATCCGTAATCCAATCTGTCTAATTCAATCAATCGTCGCCATCAGGCCAATCTAATCAATCAACGCTATCAGGCTAATCTAGTCAATCGTCGTCATCAGCCGAGTCCAATCAATCATCGACGCTCCCGAATCTTAATGGTGGATTGAACAGAATGTTCAGCGGAGTTAGCATATCGATCAACTGGAAGGGGGTATCCGCTGTCATGCATCCGCTGCTATCCTCTGGCATTTCGCTGGGGTCATCCTCGTCGTCATCATCTACATCTCCATCCTCACCGTCATCATCGTATTCTCTGACATCCTCAACGTCCGCTTTCTCCCCTTCTTCGCTCTTGTCACCGTCGATCAGAGGAGGGGCGGTGATGGATGGAGATGGCTCGCCGCCGGGGCCCGAGAGCTTGTCTGGTGTGCTTGGTCGACGGCCGGGATCCCTGCGTCGGATAAGCGTCGGAGGAGGAGGAGGAGGAGGAGGAGGAGGAGGCTCAACGACATCATCGCCGTCGTCATCATCAAGGGTCAGTTCGTTTCGCCCAACCTTTCAGCCTCCGGCGCCGATTTTTTTCTTCCTTTTCTTTTTCCCTTTCTCTTCACTATATATCGTCACAAGAATATCAGAGCGCAAAAGTGTATATATATATATTTCCATCTGGTGTGGGTGAGTGATAGTCTACTTTGATTTTGGTTAAGGTAGATTATCATTTACAGTGTAAGCAGTGAGGGGATTCTGCAGACTGTCGAGGGTTCAGCCTCCTGATGAGTCGGTGAAACTCCGACGAAACAGTTTGTCACAGCCCTTCGTTTGTTGTCCTCTTCTCTCTCTCTGCCTACGGTTTACCGGGCAGTTCTGTATGTAGAGTTTTCCATCTGGTGTGGGTGAGTGATAGTCTACTTTGATTTTGGTTAAGGTAGATTATCATTTACAGTGTAATCAGTGAGGGGATTCTGCAGACTGTTGAGGGTTCAGTCTCCTGATGAGTCGGTGAAACTCCGACGAAACAGTTTGTCACAGCCCCTCGTTTGTTGTCCTCTTCTCTCTCTCTGCCTACGGTTTTACCGGGCAGTTCTGTTTGTGACGATATATGTATATATAAATAAGTAAATGTGACGATATATTTTTTCCCGTTCGCTGATGCTGCCTTCTGTTCTCGACAGTTATTGTTGCTGTCGTCTCAATTGTCTTTCTCATTGTTTGTCACTCAACGTCTCAATTCTCTCTCTCTCACTCTCCGTTTTCAGTCTTTGTCTGTTCCTCTGTTTTTGTTCATTCCTCCCCCCTTCCCCCCCTCCCCCCCTTTCCCCCCCTTTTTCACCCACTTTTCCTTTTTCGATGCGAAGCTGTGATACATTTTCGATTTTTTTGTGTCTTTTTTGTTTTTTCTGTAACAAGCAGATTGACTTGCAGCTAATCCGTTCTTCCTCCCGAAACTACTCTGCTTTCTTTTTTTGTCGTTTTTTCCCTCCTCCCCCTGATGAGTTGTACCCCCGCTTTCCCTCATTTGGTTGTGCCCGTTCATTATTTCAGTCTCGCTGTTTCATTATTTCAGTCTCGCTGTGCAGACTCTGTGCGATCGGATTATTCCTCAAGTCTTCTCTCTCTCTCGCGCGCGCTCGCTCGCGTACCCCTTGTTCTCCTACATGGCGAATTGTGTTTCTGTAATTCTTCTCCCTTCGGGCTTAGTCTCTCTCTCTCTCTCTCTCCCTCTCTGTGTCTCTCTCTGTGCTTCAGCGATTGTACGGCATTGTCGCTCTGGCCACTTGGTTCGGATGAAGCATATGAGAGGTGTGAGTTACATGGGTTAGGGAAGGGAACGCGATTTTGGTCCCTCTTGCTCTCCCCGCCCCTGATTTCTCTCTATCGTGAATTTTCCTTCCGCCCTTTGTGTATCATCTGTCGTCTCTCCTATTTTCTTTATCCCTCCCGTGTGTTCTTTGTGGTAGCATTGTGGTAGCAGCCTAGCACCATCGCTGCTGAGCTTGTCCGATCAGCAAGCTGCTGCGAGGTAATGCTCTCGAGACTGGGTTACGATGAAACGAGCCTAGCCTTGCAGCATCCCAGATGGAGCCCTTGGGTACACTCGCGGGGGAAGCAAGCGCGCCCTCCTCCTCCCCCCCCCCCCCCCCCCCCCCCCCCCCCCCCCGACACACAGAGAGAGATCGCGGGTGTACCGAGAGATGTATAGTCGTTCATGAAGAGGTGAGGGAGCAGGTTATTGTTTCCCAGTGGGAGAGTAGTCGGGGTCTGAACAGAGGACAAGTTAGCGGCAGTGCACAAGGCTGGGTCGGGGTGGTATAGGGGTCATTACGCTAAGGAGACTATTTTTTATTTTGAAAGATATTTGGAAGGGGAGAAAGTGGGTGCGAGAAAGAGAGAAGCAAGGGCCGCAGCATACAGAGCGACGCACGTCGCGGAGTGGCGGATAGAGTGCAGGGGCGAGGTCCCACTAGCAAAGAGGATTGGACTTAGCGCCTGAATCTGGACGTGTTTGTGGGGTGGTGGCGAAAATCGTCATTGATCTGCTTTTCTTGGTGCATCTGTTCAAAAAACACGTCCAGATTTGGGCTCTCAGTCCAGTCCTCTTCGCTAGTGGGACCGCACTCCAGGTGTCGGAATAACTTCTCACCAAAGTTAAATCGATTTAGAGAAGTCGGATGATAGAAGCTGGAAGAAAAACGGAAAAAAAAAAAGAAAAGAGGTGTGGCAGTACCCAGAGCCCCATCGGGCTGCTTTCTTTTCTTTTTTTTGTACTTAGTGGTCCCCCCCCCCCCCCTCCCCCTCTTTCCAAATTGGCCGTTGGATAATCTCGGAGGTGGTGGTGAATGTGTGCAGCAGAGGTGCACAACAACAGTCTGTGCGGCAGGTAGAGAATGAAAGAAGGTGGGGAGGAGAGAAGGCGAATATATATGTATATTTGTGACGATATATATATTGTCACATTGTGAATCAGAGCGCAAAAAAGGGGAAAGAAAAAGGAAAAGGAAAAAAGGGGGAGGGGGAAGAGGTAAGGAAAGCTCCACCTGTTCATAACCTCTTACGTACAAGGCCAGCCACGAATGGAAGGATAGGAAAATGGTCGAGGTTGTGTGCGTGCATCGCTGGTCTTTTTTGCCCTTCTTTTTAATTAAGAAAGGGAGCAACAACTGGAGGTTTTCACGAGAAAGAGAATAGAGAATGTTTGGAAATGGGTGCGCAACGAAAGCTGTGCGGCACGGACAGAGAAGGAAAGAAGGGGTGGGAAGAAAGAGAGAGAGGGGGCGGTGGTGAATTAATGATCCAAAGATATGGTGAATGTGGAAGCAGACTTAAAAAAATATACATAATCATTACTTGTACTTGGAAGCTCAGATTTAGAGCAGCCTGCCACCTGAAGTCTGTCCAAAATTAATTACGAGAATAAAAGAAATGATGGCGAATGTTTGGGCGGGAAGAAGAGAACGTTTTTTTTATGGAAGGGGAGGGGGGGGGCAGGGGCGTAGAATGGGGGGCTGGATCGAATGCAAACGCAAGTTACGCAACGCACAGTTGGAACCCACTCTCTCTCTCTCTCTCTCTCTCTCTCTCTCTCTCTCTCTCTCTCTCTTCTTGTTGTTGTTTGGGCCCGTGTCTGTTTCAACTTCAGTGTTACCGTTTTTTTTTTTTTTTTTTTTTTTTTTTTTTTTTTTTTTAACTTGGGTTACCGTATTCATTCTGTGGTGTTTTTTTTTATAGTTTTTCGACCTTTTTTGTGTTTGAAATGCCCAGGGTGTTGTAGAGGTTGGAGTCAGACCTTGGAAGATCCCCCGAGACTCAGCCATTTGGAGCTCGAATGGCCCGTTTAGCCCCCTGGGCCACGTATTCGGGATACCTCTAGACTACCCTTTTCATTCGATCCAACCCTCCCTCTGTTGAAACGCACGGTTGAAAGATGAAACGATTTGAGAACTGTGCTAAAATACATGGGTCAGGGGGAGGGAAGGCGACTCAGGTGGAAAGAGGGAGGGGGGTGAAACCATATGAGAACTGTGATTTACACGGGTCAGGGAAGGGAGTGCGACCCTGGGAAAGAGGGAGGGAGGGAGGGTTGGATCGAATGAAAACGCAGGTGGATGGGTATTTTGGGAGTGCGAAGGAGGGAAATAAAGGAAGGGAAAAGGAACATCAATGGCCGACAACATGCGGTTGAACACGAAGGGGGAGGGAAGGCGACTCGTAGGGAAAGAAGGAAGGGGCTGAAACCATATGAGGAGAACTGTGATTTACGGGTTTGGGAACCCTGGGGAAGAGGGAGGGAGGGTTGGGTCGAATGAAAACGCAGGTGGATGGGTATTTTGGGAGTGCGGAGGAGGGAAAGAAGAAGAAAAAGAAGAAGAAGAAGAAGCAGCAGCAATTGCCGACAGCATGCTGTTGAACACGAACAAGAATGCATTTCAAAGCCACGTGCTCCAGTTCCTGAGAAGAACGGGCACGTCCGCGGCGGGTTTTTGCTTCAACCGGTTGCGCACCGATCCTCAGGAAGCTATCCCCTCGCCACGCCTGACCACATCTACCACCCATTTGGAAAGAAGTGGAAAAAGAAGAGGAAGCAGAAGAGGAATAGTGAACAGAACTAGAAGAGGAAGAAGAGTAAGAAGAAGAAGAAGAAGAAGAAGAAGAAGAAGGGGGTCCGTCGAATCCACGTCAGCAGTCGACCACTGACTTGTCAGTGACCTTGTCAAGGGGTAATAGAGAACTGAAGGAGAATGCCCACTAGGGACATGGTATGATGTTGTAGGAGGAAAGAAACTTGGTATGATGTTGTAGGAGGAAAGAAACTTGGCATGATGCTGTAGGAGGAAAGAAACTGTGGGTGCCACTGGTACACAGGTTACTGTTCGTGAACCGATCATGAGTTCAAATCCTGACGGAATCAGATGGATTCAATAATGTTAGGGGCTGCCCTCCTATGGGAAAAAACAAAACAAAACGAAATCGTTTCAAGGGGAGAGAGAGAGAGAGAGAGAGAGAGAGGTTTTGAAGGCCCACGCTTCAAGAGGAGAGAGAGAGAGAGAGAGAGGTTTTGAAGGCCCACGCTTCAAGAGGGGAGAGAGAGAGAGGTTTTGAAGGCCCACGCTTCAAGAGGGGAGAGAGAGAGAGAGAGGTTTTGAAGGCCCACGCTTCAAGAGAGAGAGGTTTTGAAGGCCCACACTTCTAGAGGGGGGGGGAGAGAGAGAGAGAGAGAGAGGTTTTGAAGGCGCACGCCCCCCTACCCCAACGGAAAGGAGAGGGGGAGAGAAAAGCGACAAAAAAAAGGGAAAAAATAAGAAATTGGATGCGTGTTTCTCAGAGGTAACGCGGTTTTGATTCCGGAAAAGGACTTCGCCGATGATTTCAGATACGAATTCGGAAACGAAAAAATGAATGCCTTCCAAAACAAGATAAGCTTCTGGTGAGGGCTTCGTAGAGAATCGCGTTATTTTTAGCTTCTTCCACCCCTCTCTCTCCCCCCGCCCTTCCCCCCGCCCTTTCTCTCTCCCTCTTTCGCTTTCGCGTACTATACTT